GCCCTCAGCTCAAGGTCCCTCCTGTGGGTGCCACGCAGGAGCAGTTTCCAAAGCTACCAGTGACACCGTCTCGCAGGGAAGGAGCCAGTTCTGTCCAACACACCATGGCCAAGGAACCGCGGCTTTCCCGTGCGGATCAGCACAGCCCTGTCTCCGGCTGCACAAAGCTCCGGGTGTCCCGGGTGGGGACCATGTGGCAGGCACCGACCTCACTGGGGATGCCCCGGGACCCAGTCCTGTCCCACGGTGTCCGAGCTGGGAAGCGGAGGGGAAAACGCCAAGTCACTACAATTCTTCGAGGTAGCACCCGGGAGGAGGGGACAGGGAGGGAAACAGTTTGCTGCCAAATCTCTGCATCTGATTTGCGTAACTTTCAGACAACCTCATCAATTATGGATGCCCGGGCAGTGAGCCCCGAGCGCTGCGGCCGCCCGGGCCCCACAAACTCGTACTCCACATGCTAAATCGGGCCCCACGTTGCCATAGCAACCCGTGTTAATTCACACAGGGATTTTTAAAATCTCATTTCTTAAACCCCCCCATGAATAGGATATTATCCAGATAACAGAGCTAAGTTCCAAATCTTCCTGGTGCGGCGCAGCACGGGGAGTGCCAGAGGCACGTGTGGGACCGGGGGATGTGAGGGCACCACAGCACAGGGACAGGCCCTGCTCGATGCTCTCCCACCCTGTGCTGCTCCTCCAGCCCTGCTGCTGCGAGCAGAGTTGCTCACACACCCCAGGCCAGAAGCATGGCATCCACTGCCAGGTCCCACGGGGAAATGGCTCTGGATCAGCCCGGCACCAGTGGGTTTAGCAGAGCTGGGGACAGGGCATGGAGCAAGCACCAGGCCCACAGTGGGAATCTCCCCAACACCAACCTGGACAGACGCTGCATGTCCCTTGTCCCTCACCCATGAGCCTGTCACCAGGAGCACCGGCAGCTCCCGTGGCCATCCCACCCAGCAGTGCCCAGCAGCCAGAGGGTTCTGCAGAGGGAGAGCAGCTGGGGTGGGAGATGCAGCAGAGCAGGGCTGGGAAGGAGCGGGATGAAGGAGGAGGTGGTGGCACTCAGGCCGTTGCCACAGCAACACCAGCTGTGAGCCCGGGGACAGGAGAGGGGTGTGGGGGGGGACAGCATTGGGCACAGGCCAGGCATCATCATCCCAGTCTCCACATCCTGCAAGATACGGAAGCAGCAACACCTGGAGTAGGTTGGGATGAGGGGGACTCTGAGCTGAAGCCCCTTCACTTCCCACACAGGCCCTCAGCAGCAACAACGATTGTACTGGGAACACCATGCTGGCCTTGCACAGTACCAAGACATGGGGGCCACCTGATTAGCCCTGCACAGCACCTGGGACACCACACCAGCCCTGTGTGACACCAGGACCCTGTGGGCACCGCGCTGGTCCTGCACAGCACAGGGGACATGCTGGATGCTGCTCTAGCCTTGCACTACAGCAGGGCTATGGGGGTGGCATGCCAGCCCTGCTTGGCACCAGGACACAGGGGACACCACGCTGGCTCTGGTCAGCCAGGAACAGCCCTGCACAACCTGGGACAGGGACACAGCACCAGCCCTGCACAACTCCAGGGATATAGGGGTGCTCATGGGGTGCTGGCCTGGGAGGGAGGGATGGGGGTGCAGTGGCAAATGGGCTGTGTGCCCAGTGACCCAGTGCCATGCATGTGCTCCCCGTGGTCCCTGTCCATGGCCAGGGACGGTTCCCAGCCCTCCCGGGTGGGCTCCACGCACCAGGCCTGGAAACTGCAGCTGCATCAGCACCATGAATAATTCAGTCCCGGGCGGAACGCCTCAACGGAGCGGCTAAATCATAGCCAGAGCAGATCCTCGCGGAGCTACACACACGGACACACATGTACAGACACACATCCGCCCCCGCAGCCGCACGCCCAGACACACGCACACGGGTGCACCCACGGAGACGTGCAAACCCCGCCGCAGAGACGCGCCCGGGGAGAAACCCGCGGAGCAGCTCCAGCCACCCCCGGACCGAGAAACACCAGCACAGCCCAGCCAAGCTCACATATGCCAGGGTGCACCCCGCCACGCAAACACAGACACGCACCCAAACACAGGCACACACGCACAGCCCGCACGCACGCACACGCTCACAGACACATGCAGATGTGTGCGGGCACCGGCAGCTCCCCAGCACACACGCAAGGTCTGTGAACACAAGCTCCAGGCACACGCAGATGCCCCCAGCTCTGCCCGGCCTGCCCGGGCTCACACCCCCCTGCCCGTGCCCCTGCCGAGCCTCCCGGTGCACCGGCGCAGTTCCCGGGGGCACGGGAGCTGCTCCCGCCCGCAGGGGCAGGGCAGCCCGGCCGGGCACCCGCCG